TCCATTATTTATTATTTTAGGTCGAAAATATAATAGTATTATTAGTATTATTTATATTAATATATTTTAATATTAAAAAATAGAATAAGTAAAAATTAATAAAAGATTAACTAAAAAATTAATGTTTATAAAAATATATTAATGTATTTTTAATATTTTCATTGTTTTTTTTCAGGTTTAATTACTCCAATTTTTAGTTATTTATATTCATAATACATATTCTGTATTACGTGTCAATCTATAATAAAACTAAATAATATACATACAAAAAATTATCATTAAAAAGTATATAACAAAATCGAAGACTATTGATATGTTATCCGCCGAAAATTTGTACATAGTTCGTACATAGTTCAACATGCACGTTTTAGAGGCGCCAGTAAACAAATTCCACATAAACAAACAAGCAGCAGCGCACTTAGCAGTTCCGCGATGAATTAACGAGGAATAGCAAGGAATGGTAGTCGATCTTCGTCAGTCTGTTTCTGTTAAATGTCAAACACTAGCGAGGATCGCGGAATAGCGATTTGTTCGTGACGTTCTCGGTTGTAGAGATGGCCGCGAAAGAGTCGATCGTTGTCGAATCGATCGATAGCGGCATAGCCGAGCCCGGGATCGAGCCCGGCGCCTCCACGGAGACGATGCTTGTCACCACTGATAGCTTCGATGAGTACGAGCAGGAGATGAGCGGCAGCATCGACAGTGACAGGCAGATGAAGGAAAGTATCACCAGCACTATCTCTGAGATCCAGGAGGACGTTGTGCAAGACGATTCCACGACGTCCACTACCGCCGATCCGGGAGAATCCGAGAAAAACCTTTCCTTGGACGACGCAGAGATGGTTAGGCTTTTTTTGTACGGAATCGCCTGTTTTTTTCATAAATTTGGGTTGCACATCAATATTGTACATTAAACCGGATGAATTGTCACATTTTAGGATGATGTCGCACATCGTTTGGGCCAAAGTAACCTAGACGGAGACCCGTTGCGTTGCAAAGCGTGGCTGGCACAGAAAAAGCATATTTTTATTTTAAGTCAGGCGGGGAAACCGATATATTCTAGATACAGTTCAGAAGACAAACTAGTCACAGTTATGGGAGTCATGCAAGCTTTAGTGTCATTTGTTCAAGCCGGAAGCGATATGATTAGATCGGTACATGCTGGCGACACGAACTTTGTTTTTGTTGTAAAGGGTCCATTGATCTTAGTAGCAGTGTCCAAAACCTTGGAAAGCGTACCTCAGCTCACTTTACAATTAACGTACATGTTATTTAAAATGATATCCTTGCTTTTTAATAAAATATCTGATACTTATACATATTTAATTCCAGATATGTATATAATCAGATAATCTCTGTGTTGACACAATCTCAATTAAATAGAGTATACGATCAAAGAAGAAACTTTGATCTACGAAGGTTATTAAGTGGTAGCGAAAGACTGATAGATCATTTATTGAACTTTATGGACAGAGAGCCTGCTTTCTTTCTAGGAGCCATTAAATGTTTGCCCTTACTTCCTTCTATGAGAAGTTCCATTACACAGACTATCATTCAAACTTGTGCTAAGATCAAGGTATAAAAGCATTTATGGAATATGCTAAACATTTGTGAAATCGGAATGAATTCAAATGTTTTATTAAGAGAAATTTGTCTTTCAGAATTTAGTATTTGCCATACTTTTAGCTAACAATCAGTTGGTTACACTAGTTAGAATGAATAAATTTTTCCTGCATCCAATGGATCTACACATAATACAAAATCTGGTGGACAGTTCCGAGTCACTCAAAACTGCTGAGAGCTGGACACCGATATGTCTACCGAAATTTGATTCCAACGGATACATGCATGGTCACGTATCTTATCTGGCAGAAGATTGTCAGGCATGTTTATTGCTACTCACCGTTGATAGGGATGTATTTTTTGTGCTATCGGAAGCCAAACAAGTAAGAATTATTGCAGAAAATAAAATTGATTAAATAAATTGAAAAATCATTTATATAAATGTCAATTTGATGTTAAATGTTTGATAGAAAATTGTGGAGAAATTGCGGCGAACAAATTGTCTAGAAGCAATAAATGAGTCCATGAATAAACCGACGGTAACAACTGCTGACATTGGGTTACCCGAGATGCGACACGTTTTATACAAATGTAAAAGCACCGCGCAATTCTGGAGTCCTGGACTTCAACCACCTTACACAACGGATGATGAGATAGAACGGTAAAAATTGATTTTTTTTAAATATATGGTTGAAATTAAAAAGGACATGTAAGAATCAAATATAAAAATTCAATATAATAATCTAAGATATTATAATTTTCTTACATGCCCTTTCTAATTTCGATTGTTTTTGTGTATTAAGAGTTCTTCATCCTTGTTTAATTTAAATAAACGATGTAACATCTATATGATAAAAAAATACATTTTGTTTTTAGATTATTGGGACTTTATCAGTGTTTGCATCACAGATTGCATTCTCCTAGTCGACCCTTGAAACTTATATTTCAACAGCTAGATAAAGAGACAATGTTAGCATGGGTAAGTAAAAATTTATATGATCTATTTGATCGCGAAATTTTTTCTTTAATTAAAAAAAAAAAATTATTTCTAGGTGGCTTCTGGTTTTGAATTATATGTAACATTTGAACCTCTGGTCACGAAACCAGATGCTATCGAGGCAGTGAGTAAGCTATTAAAGTGGATAAAGAAGGAAGAAGAGAGATTATTCATTCTAAACTCTCCTACGTTTTAAACATTGCCAAGTATTTTGTTTTTACAAAATACATAGAGAAGCTAATATGTAAAATTGATAGAAATATTTGTCGATCAAATTTTGAAAATGTGTGAGAAGCATCAAGGATTCCAAAGTAAAACATCTTTACATATACGTTCCAAAAAAGGCAGGAATATAGTTATTCGTCCATTATTAAGCATTGATATATAATCGATATCGCTATTTTGTTATTTAAGAAAGCAATTGTAATATAACACAAATAATGTGAAAATGTACATACATTTGAATATGTTACAACGGATGATTCCGGGTACACGTTGTAGTTTTAATACCGAATTCTTGTCATATACTGACACTAAAAATATACGAGCATTGATAAGAGCATATAAGAAAAGTTAAATATTACCCATTCATCTCTCATATAAAATTTGACCAAAAGATTTTCCATATCGTCGCACTTCAATCTTAATCTTAATGTCTAGTTCTGTCGCGTTCTCTTCTACGATCACGGTCCCTTTCTCTTTCTCGTTCTCTCTCCCTCTCTCTATCATCTCTTCTATGACGATCTCTATCCCTATCCTTATCTTTGTGCGACGTTGAATGAGATTTTGGTGATTTGCTACGTTTACGTTCTCTCCTATCTCTATCTCTGTCTCTTTCCTTCTCTGTTCGAGAATGCCTTTTATCTCTTTCTCTATGACGATCTCTATCCCGTTCATGTTCATCCGGTCTCTTGCGTGGTAATTCCTTTATCGGTGGAATCTCTTCTTCCTCTGATGATTCAATACCATCATCCATATCATCTTCCAATGCTGATATCTTCGCTTCTACATAAGATAAATAAATATATAATAAAAAATTAGTTTAGGAATAAAAGTAACTAATGTAGGAATAAAAGTAATTAATATATAGAAAATACTTAACATACCTAACTCATTATTTTCTTCTAAAACGTGCCTCTTTTGAATTCTTGGTAAAATAACATCACAACACCTTTCATCTCTAAGAAGATTGTCAATGAATTCGTCCATGTGTACGAGCTCGAATACACCCTGTTTATTCTGAATTCTGAGCTTTCTGTTGTCATTGAATAACGGTTCGAGATATTTATAACAGTCTAAGGAAGAACCAGTCAATCTCATGTACAGTGCACCCAAAGCCCGAACATATTTAAACTCTTCGTTCTTTATAAATTCAACTATAATGTCCTTTTCAGGTTGTATTTGGAGCATTTTTAATATGAGGCAAAGAAAAGGAGTAGGCTTCACATTGCCGCCATAAACTCCTCCTAGAAATCTAAAAGAAAAAATATAATTAATTAGAAAAAACACTTCTTACACGTATTAACATTTATTTCTGTAAGTTTATCCATTAAGTACATAAAAAAAATAATATTATTAGTAAAAGAAATTATTGTGTAGAGGTTATATTTTAGTTTTACTAACCTCAACTCCATTGCCTTGTCGACTAACAGTTCGGCTGTTAAAGCAAAACATTCTTCTTTCCAGTATTTAGAGTCGTATATCCGAGATCTGATAATCTTCTCAATCAAATATTGTGGATTTGTTCCGCGAATAGATTTAGCATCTTTTACCGTGCGATTTGCCATTTTCGAATTCAACTACTTACATTCAACCAATTCGACTATGACAGACTTGCTATCAATCTTCAGTTGGAAGTCACCAGAGGACACTGATTTGCCGAAAATGTATTGTATTTTGCGCGAATAATAAAAAACTTTGCATCGAATTCATTTCTGACGCACGAATTAGGTAAAAAAGAATAAACAGTGCACAGAGATTATTTAACGCAGAAACTGAATAAAAAATATTTTTTTATTAATGTGTAATTATTTAAAATATTTTACTTGCAAATATTCGATAATTCTATATAGAAAAGTTTTGAATTAAAGAAAGATATTAATATTATTTTTTATGAAAAAAATGTTGTTTTTCTTTCAGAACTCTGAAATATTTAGTATTCTACTGTCTATTATAATAAATCCATTATAAATGTACAAATAAAAAACTAATATATGTGCATAAATAATTTTATACGATATATTTAATATATTATTTATATAATTTCCAAGGAAGATATATATATGTGTCAAATTATTTTCTCTTCGCTCTGAAGATTCATTAAAAATCTAAAATATATTATGATTGATTAACAAAATATTAAGTATAATACATACATATATTTTATCTTAACTAGAGAAAATAGTTCTTCAGATTTGTAAGTCTAACGAATGAACCCGTTATGTTCGGACGGAGAAATCCGACAAAGCAATACACAGCGGCGTGCAACCTTTTTGGTGTCACCTTTCTCTTTACGGCTGCTTGGAGTCCATGAGGGGACCCCTCACGACAGTCTCCTCTCTCCGGAGTCTCACTCTTTCTCTGTCTTTCTCTCTCTCTCTATTTCCCTTCCTCGCACCTTCACCTGGCAACCTGGCTCACCTGAACGGCCATCTTGAAGCGCGCCGTCGTATCGCGTTCCTCGTCTTTCCACCAAGTCGCATTTTCCGCTCATCCTTGTAGCCGGCCGTTCGTCGCATGTGCCGTAAGCTGCATGTGCAAAACCTCGCGACGTGCAGCAAGGCACCAGTGATCGCGCCGGTAACGTTTTGGCACTTTATAATCGTGCCTGGCTTCCACCTGGCTCGCTTTCTTTCCCTTCGCATATTCCGATAAGGTCCTGACATTGCTGACGTCATTAGTGTATACTTTGGAACTTATCCAAGATTCTCAAGGAAGTGCCGTCTCTGTTACGGTAAGTTGGTTTTTCTGCCGGGCGAAAATTCACACGCGCAGCCAAACTATATTTAATCATCATTAGTGAATAATAGTCGCGTTATTTATTTTTTAGGTCTAGAGATAACAAATTAGATTTTGGATACGTGTACATACATGTATACATATACAGGGTGTCCCATAATAATCGTAACAACACTATTTCTAAGATTATTTTAATACAAAAATTCTAATACTTAAATGTTGAGATTATACAGTGCAAAAAGAGATTATACAGTGTTTAAAATGTTTAAAAGATCTCAATTTTAAATATTTTAATGTTTTAAAGCCGAACATAGTGTTTATTGAAAAAGTTTAAAACTAAAACATCTTTAAGTATTTAAAAAACGGCAGACAAGAATAAAACATTTTAATATCTTAAAATTAAACACTTCTTTTATGAGTTTATAAATAATATTTACAAACATTTAAAGATGGCGAATAATATCACTCCAAATTTGCGCGTTCAGATATGGTCCACCACAAAATAAGAACTATAATCGTCGCCTCTTGTTAATATTAATAAAAAAAAATATTTAAAATTTTATTTAAACTTATGTCAATTTATTCAAGATTGAAATGAGCATATTATAATCATGATCAAATTGAACAATTATCTCTTAGCAAGTGTTATTTAATCCCTAGATTATATAAGTCTTGAATCAAAATATAATTTATTTTCTTACTAATATTTTATTTAAAAACTTTTCTGACCGATATTTGATGACTTCGTTTGCAATATAAGATTTTTTTCTATGACAATTTTTTATTTTTTAGATCTTTTTAATATTGACCCAAAAATTATGATTGTATAGTAAATTTCAGCAGAATTAAAAGACCTTATTTTGTTAACAGCTTATTCCACGTCCTTCGTTCCAAGGCACGTCACTCGAGCGAAAGAAAGGTATCATTGATGCTGACCTAACAATTGGTGAACGTGCTTGAACGCGCGAGATCATAAATGTCACGGACGGCGCAGCCGTTGGTTTAACGGATACGAACGTGCGATCTTTTTATTAGTGGGACCGGTGATGAAGAAACACGCTGAGAAGTGAATAGAAGATCCGTATTTATTGTGAAACAAAGAAGAAAGACAAGCTCCTACCCGATTCTGGAGAAAATCATCTGCGGAGGGAGAACGACTTAATCGCAAAATCCTCGTTGTTGTGTGTGGCTAGCGAAAGTACGTGAAGTATTCTTTGTTCGTGCAATAAGTTACCTCTGAACGAACGCGCGTGTCTTGCACAAGGCGATCCCATTGTTGTCGAACAATTGGACTTCGTGGAGAACCGTCGTTCCAAGAACGACGACCTTCTGCCGCGGGTGTGATAACCGCGCGAGTCGGCGCGAAGAATCTCTCGGTCTCTTCCGCAATTTAATCAACGGTTTATAATTCCACAGTCGTCTCTCCGTTTCGCCTATGGAATTCTCGGAGTTGATGTTATGGTCGAACGATTACGCGAGGAAGAATCACTGTTAAACGACGTGCTGGTGGTTGGGACATCGAGTTTGCGTTGACGGGAAATCAACTATTGTCAAAATGGGTTCAAAGATCGAGTACGTCGAGTCCTCGCACATGTATGCGACTAATTACATCCGCAATTCCAAAGCGATCGGCGTGCTGTGGGGTATCTTCACTATATGCTATGCCATTATCGGCGTCGTTGCGTTTGTCACTCCGGAATGGCTCGGCGATCTAGAGCATGAGAATCCCGGAAGATTCGGTCTGTGGACCAGGTGCAGCTATGGTGGAAATGGTACGTTTGTATACTGCGACTCTTATTTTTATTCAAGAAGGACAAGAAAGTCAAAATAATGTCAATTTAATATCATATTAATCGATTATTAATCGAATTTATGTCATTTTTTTTGTCATGATTCAATATGACATTATTTTGATTTTTTTGTCTCTAAATTCTTTGGAATGGAATCCACTCTAAAGAGTAAACATTGTGCTAGTCTTGAAAAGGAATGGCTTAATTTTCAATTTTTAAGAGTGAGATTTCACTTTTTAAAATGAAATTCGTTGTAAAAGTTTTAGAGAGCAAGAAGAAAATTTTTTTGACTGATTGCAAATCGCTCATTTGTTACAATTAAAAAATTTATTTTTATTGCCATACCAAAAATAATAAAAAGACTATTTCAAAATCATTTCGCTCATTTGCTACAATAGAAATATAATTCAGAAAATAAAATTTTCTAAAAAAAATTGACACTTTTAGTTGCTTGCGAAAAAAAAAAATATTAAGAAGAAAGAGAAAAAACATATCTTTATTTCCTCTATAATTAGTTATTACATTAAAATTACATTTTAAAGTTAATATTACCAAATCTTAATGATTCAAAATATTCAAACTTATTTTTTATGGAACTTTGTTTTTTTTTAATCGTATCGTTGTTGCAGCAAATAATCTAATTTATTTTTGGTATGACAAATAAAAATAGTCCTAGTTTATAATTTAAAAAAATGTATTTTAAAATGTATTTTATATATATAATTAATAATCTTGATATTTCCTTATAATAACTACAAGTCCACATTCCAGACTGAGGAATAATTATTTAAACTACATTATTAATTCAAACGGTTTCATAATTACATAGGTGAGTTAGGCGAGGAATGTATCGGCCGGCTGGACGACCTGTCGACCATCGCTAACGTTCCTTTCCGAGCCAGCACGATTCTAGTCGGCATCGCCGTGATAATCGCGCTACTGGCGATCTGCGCAATGCTCATGTTCTTCTTTTGTCAAAGCACCACCGTGTTCTACATGTGCGCTTGGATGCAAGTGGTGTCAGGTAATTATCCAGTCCCTCCTCACGGAAAGTATCTCTAAATCCGGTATTTATAGTCTGTTCTTATTTTAAGAACCGTCTTAAGTAAGACTATCTTAAGATGCTAATATAGCTCACCTTCTAATTGGCTCACGACAACTTAATACTATTTTAAATGTAAGAATCGATTATGAATATCTGCCTAAGTGCCAAATGATAAGTGCGCGCGAGACACTTTCCACAACTGACGCGTCTGCTTTAGAAAGCGCAACATTAGCCAAGCTGATCCTCGCAGCCCGTTACTCACAATCTCAACCGTAATTCCTTATCAGCGAGATGCAATTGCAAATTGCGCTAATGCGCTGAGCCGGATCCCATTTGCGCGGGGCCGGGAAGTGAAGTAATCACCCTGTTTAACGCGCTTTATTGTGAACTTTATCAGTTTCATCTCTGACTGTGGAGATAACGATTTTAAAACGACGCCGGTCGCTGTCGGAAATTGCTCTCATGTCATGGTTCCGCGCTTGCGAGAAAACTTTCGCAAAAATCTCATTTCGGAGAGATTTCGTTAAACTTGTTAAATATGTGTGTCAAATAATTAAAAGCTATTCGCAATTTCTCGTTACTCGAACATGCTATTCGTGAATACCGCATCGATCTTTTTATTTGGTTAGAAAGCGCACAGTAACCGCAGAGGATTGTCCAACGTTGCTTGCGTAACGGCTGAAATAATAATAATGGTATTGCAAGAATAACTGCATCATTGATGAATGACGTGTCATCAGAGACGTCCACGTTGGCTGAATCGTTAGAAGAGTTACTAGGCAGTTTTATACATATTATTTTCTTTTCAATGCACGTATTATTTCCTCTCTTCAATATATATTTAAATTACAAAAAGGGCATTCTGAAATATTTCTTCTCAGAATAATATAAAATAAAAGACGTTACTATACAATAAATCTATTCCTCTTAACTGAACTTCTTGCACAATATAATAGATCTATTCTTTTTAGTTGGTCTCTTTAGACTTCTTGCACACTTCTTTTACCTTTCTCTCTTTTCTCTCTACATTAAAGAAAGAAGAGAAAAGTTAAACTATGACGCATAAGAACTTCAGCTAAAAAGAACATGCATGATATTTTGCTCCCAGATTTACAATCAGATTTCCTTTAAATCAAAATGCAATTGTGTTCTGCTTAATATAATTAAAAACGAATAAAACACATTCACGCCGAAACACATCGATACTTTCTCTAGATAGCTTTTGCATTATCCGGATGCATGTATAACATTTAGCATTTCCGGGTCGCGATTTCTAAAGCTCGTTGTCGAGAATACTTCATTTGTCATTGGAACACGCGGTGTGTTTTTCTGCTTCACAGTGTATCCCGAAATGCGCGCGCTGTATATTTCATAGCATCTAGGCATTCGAAGGTTCTTTTACAATTGTAATCGTGGCTGATCGTCGTCTGTGGGTCCTTAACGAGTCCGGTGGCGACTCAGCGAAATGTGGAATAGACCGTTATAACGTGCCTAAGCCAGTCTGCATATACCGTTCGTCAACGCCTCTATGATTAACGTAAACCAACTGCAACCGTCGGTCGAGTCGATATCGACTCGCCGAATATTAATCTATCGAGAATTTCTCTGCAACAAGATTGCATTCTAATTCCGATCGCTAATTTGTATCGAAATTAATTCGTTTTGCAACTAAGTCTAGTTCTTTAATGAAAACATAATAAGATATATATTCATGGTTTGTAAATAATATTTCTAAAATATGCATTTAATTTGCATGTTTAGTCGGTTAAAGTTGTCAAACCGCGTTTTACTCATTGATTGCAAATGAAGTAAATTCTTCATTCACTTTTTACACGAATAAATTCTCGGTAACGCATAATAACGCGGTTATTCATGAAAATTGTACGGTATGCGCTGGATGTTGACTAACAAGTTGACGAGTATATAATTTTCATTTAACGAACGTCCGACGAACGAACGTAACTTACACAAGCCTGGCAGCAAAGTTTCGGCAGTGTCAGCGATTCGTTGCAAGTAAGCACCGTTGAGTCACGACAGTGAAAGTTATACGCCAAGTCGCGCTCATTACATAGCGTGAAACATGAAGAGGCAAATGTATCACCATGAGAAACTATATAAATGACATTTCAAGTACATGGATTATAGAAATTATCTGTATACATAGAATGTAGCAGCGTTTATCGTCAACTTAAAGGCTCTAAAGCTGGAGTACCATACAGGAAGATTGCGATATGCATTACAAAATCGTTAGAAAGTGTAAAGAGCAAATAACACGCACAGGATATTGTATAACAAGCTAAAAAGAGCTAAACAGAATTAGCAAGAATAAATAAATTCAAATTATCAAATGAAAGACTACCAAAAGAAGAAGTTTATAAAATGCGGATAATGAAAGGTAAGAGTGAAAACTACTGGTTTTCATTCATTATCGAGATAGATAATAAATGGAAAGTATAGAAATACAGAAATACGGAGTGCAATGAAATTATTGAAACCGAGCTCTGTGAAGACAATCATATCGCGTCTACTGTATATGATTCGCGCATTAAAAATCGCTCGTTCGCCGGGAAACAATATCGTCTCGGCTCGCTGGTAAACGTAGCGAGTCCCAGAAAAGTTACGGTTGTTCACAAGTCCCTTTCACTACCGGCCTCCGCATAGCCACCTGCACAATTACGTCCGTATAAATGCGAGAGTACGCCTCTACTGCATGTAACTGCGATAATAGAACTATAAGGATGAAAATAATTGAACCATAAGTGAGTCTGTATTATTAAAGCGTATTAGATTTGCCGCCGTAATAAGTCCTGACATTGATTTCTTAACGTAGTCTTTATCGTAGAACTTTTTTCACGCTTTTGCGCTGTATAATTATCTCGAGAAAGCGAAAAAGTTAATACACGAATTGCAACGCGAGTAATATTAATAATCTCTCTAACGGCTTCAGTACAGTGTCTTTGGATATGTAAATGGATTTTATGCAATTATAATTATAATTTCGGGTGTTTTTTTTCCAGCAATCTGCATGGCGATCGGAGTGTGCATCTATCCTCTCGGCTGGGACTCATCGGTGATTCGCGCCGTATGCGGCGCAGCTGCTTCCAGGTGTGTGTGTGTTTGTACAAAGGGCATATGTATACAAAAAAGATATGAAAACAAGAAACTAAATGAAAAATGTTTTTGAATGATTTCTCTTATACATTTGCGATTTTGGCTTCTCAAGAAAGGATAGAATCAATCATAGACCTTATACATTATGAATATAAATAAGATTATGTTTATACTTCTCTCCCCAGGACATTTCGTGCATGTTTGACGTATGTTGAATATGTTTCATTAAGGTTTCTACAATTTTATGTAAATAATATAGCATTTTTAACTTTGATATATAATGTTAACACGCTGTATATTTAATTGATATGCGCAATGTATATTTTCGGATTTTGAAAAAGAGAAGTACCTAAAAGGTATGTTTCTCTCTCCACTAAACACTGTTTCTTATGCAAAAATTGTAACAATTGCCAGTCCATATCTATAAGGTCTGTGCAATTAATAAAGAATATAATCAATGTGATGCTACAAATGCTTTGAAGCATTCTTTGATTAATCAGTTAGTAAAATTCTTTTTTCTGATTAGTTATTCAAATGCTTTAAAACATTTGTAGTGAGACTTCGACCGCATCCAAATAAGTAGAATTTTGTTACTATCTTATCTAGAATTGCATTTGCGAATTCACGAAAAATCTTTTTGTGCTTTTTTGTTAATTTATGGTTTAAAAAAGAAGTTCTCTTTAAAAAAAGAGTCTATTCTACATTAAAAAATTAGTAGAAGAAATGTTCATCTTATTAGAAGCTTTATAATCTAACACTAATTATCTCAATTAGAGCCTTTCGCACGCAAATTATTGCGAAGCGATGAATAATAGCAGCATTGCCTTAAAAGGAACATAATCACGATAACAATGAACGTGAGAAAAATAGCATTCAGAAAGTTATTCTTTTGACAGATACAATCCTGGTGCCTGTGCTGTGAGATGGGCAATACCACTCGCTGCAATCGCGGCTCTGGATGCAGCTACTTTGTCTGCTCTTGCCTTCATTTTGGCCTCCAGACATGTGAGGCTACAACCAGAACCTTTCAATAATGGATCTTTGTACAAAGGTGATTAATAGCAATTTAAAAAAATGTTTATTTCGCAAAGATTTCTATTAAGAATTTTTATTAAAATCTTTGCGATTTGTGAATACGTGTTCGTTTTATATCCTCAATGTGAAATAGTGAATGTCAATTTTCCATTTTTAGGTGAAGTAAATCCGGGCTATGTGAACGAAGCTCAAAGCGTAGCTGGCTCTCGCAAGTCCCTGTCTTTGAGACCTGTTCTCCTAGTGGCCCCACCTGAACAGGATCGTTATAGCGAGCTCTCTAGAGCAAAATCGCATTCGCATCACAGTCTCTACACACCAGCGCCATCGCATCCAGCGCACACCATGTCTACGAATACTCTCAATCATTCGCAGCACAACTTTCAGCTCTAAAACGACTGATCGCTGCAAATACAAAGAATTAAATGGATCTGTATATAGCTGACGAAATTGGAGGAAAAGCTATATTGTACATAAGATGAAACGGAGCGTGAAACTTTAATGGAATGTGCGCGATTTGCTTAGGCCATTGCTTTCGCGATATTAAATTTCTAAGAATAGAATTTCTGTTCATAACGATAAAGCTATATGTATAAAACAGATACGACTGACAGCTTCATTTAATGACTGAATATTATTATTTGTTATGCCGTGAACATTTCCATCCATGTGATGTATAGTCTATCTTATCAATATCGTCGCAAAAAGCTGTCTTCCTTAGAATATTGACTTTTTACAAATATATAATTAGTACGAGTAAGTACTACAAAGATAATGATTACAGAAAAATTAAACGTAATTATTAAACGTAAAATTAAATATTGTTTAATTAATTTGTGAAATAATTTCTTTTATTAAGATAAATGGAATATTTTTAAATATTCTATTAGTTCTATTTTAAGAATCTCATACTTGTATTTATATATTAATATATGTAATTAGAAAGATTATAATCAAGCAATTTATTTTAATACTATATATTAAGTTCTCTAAACATCATGTTGCGTAATGTACGTTAAATGATAATTCAAAAGAAAATTTTATAGATGTTATAATTCGTGCCGTATTATCGAAGAAATTTATATATTATTCATATTATGTAATTTAAGTCCCTAAGTACTCATGTGCCTTTACGATGTAGTATTGATAATAATTATGAATTAAATTTTTTATCAGTAATTATTATTCTGTGTGTGAAATGTTTACTATTTAGTTAAATGGAACATTAAATGCAACTTGTAACTTTCGATGGAATGATGTATAAAAAAGGATAATTCGCATGTAAATAGATTCTTTTCTTCGGTGTGCAATATCATAATATCCAAAAAAATTTAATAATTATTAATAAGCTGTCAAACATCAAAGTTGTCGATGATGATCAACTGCATCGGCTAAGCTAAGATGTATATTTTTGTACGCGACTATTCTTGTATCGCTGTAATTTTCTTGTAATCATTTTGGTATATGCATGAAACATGGCACAAAAATGTACAAGATAAACATGATATATATCATTTTGACTAGTGTATTTAATGATATCATACAGAATAAGTTTATATTACGAGTATTATTTAATTAATAACTTGCATAATTTTACGCAACGGTCTCCGTAGGTCAGCGACGGAAAAACTTGGAGCTATAATGAATCCGTAAATTATTTTCAACATTTTTTTATTTTAACGTCGTTAATTAAATCGCGATTTAAATTAAATATCGTTTACGCCGTTTGATTTAAATCGTGATTTAATTTCTTAATTTTTTTCTTTCCTAATTCTAAAGAGATCATTTTCTGAAGTTTGCAGACCAATGAGACTGTTCGGGCGCAATTATTATTGTACAGAACTATTATTCTAATTATCAGATTTCTGTATGAGCATTCTGTGCAGCGAAGTCGAAATCTCGCGGCAAATAGATATCTAAAAATCATCATTGACATGATCATTCCATAGAGATACACAAATTTAAATCTTTTTTGGATTACGAATAATTTGACGCACGGAATGCTCATAAAATTTCACAACGTCTAAATCTAAAATAAATATTTCAGGCAAATGCCTACACGAGTAACGGACCTTTTCCTTTCAGGACGTGTTCCACACTCATCTTAAGATCTAGTAATCTCCGTGTATGGCAAATAAAAGGGAAGTTCGAGCGTATTAGCTTCCGCTTATAAGACAGCCAGTGTAAGTACAGGGGGTGTCCCCTGCGTTTCCCTTCATGTACTGTTTTTCGGGATGATTTGCGGCGGAATTTTTTCAAAGAAAAAAACCATAAATAAAAGGAAGCGCGAGAATCGAGATTCTTTCCACGCTTCTTGTAAGATCGAGATGTCATCCCGAAATAGCCCGCGAGCATGCAATCGGCAGGTGTGAGGGAACAAAACGAGCAAATCGTTCGGCAATAAAGTACTAGAGTTTTATAGTGCATTAATTAGTCCGCGATGAGGAACGAGATACAAAGGTTTACAACGTTGTAAATGCAAAGGAGTAGAGAAGAGGGGGAAGGAGTTGGGGGAGGCCCTACCGGCCGCTCGGTAACACCGTTATTTAATTCCTTTTTTTTTTTACGCGAGCGACGTATCGTCGTATTTTACAAGGTATACACACACGGCGTGTCCATGTATGACACCCTCAACCAAATCGTTTATGGCTTTACTGCGCCGCCACCGCGGCTTCTTACGTGTACGTCTTCATCCGCGTGCTTTACAGCCGTTCGTTTATTAGGCTTTCATTTAATTGCCCGATCTCCGCGCCATGTATAACGGCATCGCGCGGCTATTTCGCGCCGGGCTCTAAAGTGCGAACTACAATGGAGACACGGACGCATAATTGCCTGCTCGACATTCTTTTCCGAGCGATACCGTCGAGCGAGCTGCTGAAGACGCGTTTCAAGATTCAGCTCAAGCTAAGCTTGATTAAAAAAAAAAAAAAAACATTTCCGCTGTTTGAAACTTTTATATCGCGCGTTTTCCTTTGTGTCGACGGTTATTATGAGTTATGTCTTGACTCTCAAAGGTGGAATGTATGAATTTTATTGCGTGACATGATAGCTTGTGCTGAATTTCTTGCATCAACATTGGCATAATAATTACCGTCCGGAAATACTGGCAACGTTAATTAATATTTCACCGTCAGTGATTCGCGATCGACTATTCAAGATAAATCAGTGAAAGTATTGGAAACTTCTCCCGGGAATTTCCAAGCATTTTTCTTATTTTTTTTCGCCGATCTTAACTAGCCGCACGCAATTACAGAGTTAAGCGAAATCTTAGATTCTCGAAGCAGTTAACAGCCGTGTGTCGATCGTCAGCGAGAAACGGCGATCAAGATTAGCAACGCGGAACGGGAGGAATGAAAATAATTTAATTATAAGTTAACTTACACAAGGATTACATATAATTCACTAAGTTATGATCGATACTACAGTTTTTCGATTCTAATATTACATATGGCGCTATCTTTTCATTTTACTTCACTGAACAACCATGTTCTTTGTCTCTCTATCTCTCTCAAAGAAGGAATAAGAAGCTTCAAAAACCATTTGCTTCTAAAACCATTTTCTATCAAACTCCTTAGTCGGTACTCTTCTATCAAACTCCTTAATCGGTATTCTAAGTTAGACATCTAAGACATTCGCTACTTCTCACTGTATCCGCAAGGGCTATTCATCAGGTGCAAAGAAATTACTTTCAAGTACATGTATCGCAAGTGGTACCAACTTCTGCTACTTCGACCCCCTTGTTTAATTTTCATTGAATTTTATATCGTACGATTTTTCTTTACACCTCTTAATAATATTATAATACTACACACATACCTATGGCCAATGATGTACGTTCACATTGTATAATGTCCGTTCGAGCGAGAATTCACCGCTGGTGAATCTAGATATAGTTCCATACTTCACATAACGCAAAGCGATATGTATTCGCTCCGACAACAACGTTCCATCTCCTCGGATAAGAATGATTTATCGAAGATTTTTTAGATTTCCTTGCTTAAGATGATGCCACACGGTTGGACCACGCCGATGTTGGGTAATCTCGGCCTTCTGGACGCAGATTTGCTCTCATCCTTCTTGAGCAACTCCTCTATCGAGTAGGGATTCTTCTTCTTTTGCGGCTGCGGCGGTTGATTCTCCACCGCTGCTCCCTCGTTCGTCGTCATCGTCGTGCTCGGATTCGTGTTCTTCGCCTCATGAATCCTGTGCGACGCCGGGGAATCTCGTTTCGACGTCTCGACGATCGATATTGGGCTCTCTCGCAGATTGTCCGAATTCGTGGCGTGTGAATTAGGCGTGCCGTGCCTGACGAATGCGCTCCGATCGCTGCCGATTTTCTGGCTGAGCTCCAGGATAATCGGTGTGCTCCGAAAAGACTTGTAGTGATCTTGCGACTCGACCAGATTCTCATCCAAATCGCTTTTATCCAGAGAATCGTCGCTTCCGGCCGTTGAGCTCGAGCTCGATTTCAGCTCCAGCTGATTCTGTGCGCCGTTTTGCTCCGACAGACGTTCGGCATCTAAAGGTCTGTAAAAATGAAATTATAAACTAATTATTATACGTGTCTATAAAATAAATTGTATCTATTTTGTGTCGACAAATTCTGTCGAGATGAACTTACGCGAAGGATTGCATTCCATGCTGCAAGTGTAAGGTGGTCGCTTGATAGAGAGATGAATAAAAGCTTTGATTCCACGACGACGTGCCGGTATTGCCAGTATTCGTAGAAATATGTAACGGTCCTAAAGCACCCGGATAGAATAGTTGATAATCCGTTCTCATGAGTGTATCTGCAGAGAAAATAATTGCTGTTATTATTACAGTTTTTATGTTGCTTTGCATCTCTTAAAAAAATTTCTCTTTTATATAAATGAATATTATCGAAAATATATTTATCAAACACTATAACAAATACGTATTCTTGTACACCGTGCTAATTTCACAGATCCACATAAATTTGTGAAGTTAGCAAGCCGTTCTCTTAATAAAAAAAAAAATAATGACAGTTCCAGTAGCATTTTTATAGTTCTATATCAAATAGATCCATATCAAAATAAAAATATTTTGCATTTTTTATATTAAAAGATCAAAATGGAAAATATGGCGTGATAACTTCGCGAATCTAATACGATATTTCTAAAGTATTGACAAAAAAAAATATTTTTACGTTTGGTTACAGTATTGATTGCTCTTTATTATGTATAATATATTATATTCGTGTCGAAGCAATATTTTAATTAGACATAGAGATTAGCTTCTTTCGAAATATTAGAAAGAGAAATGTCACTAAACGAAATGATTTAAGAGAAAGATGAACACGAAAGAGTCCGAACGCTTGTTTCATAATTAGCTGCTCAAAGCCGATAAATTGAGCACCGCTTCCAGCATCCAGCGGCACAAATTGCGAGGTAAATTTTCCGTTTCGACAGCATAGGCTTGCGTGTCTGTTGCCCTGCCTGGTCTGCGTGGCTTTTGCTGACGAGTCAATCACGGCAACGGGGTATCTCGAAAGATTTGCCCTCTTCGTCCCTTCCCACCCTCCCTCCCGTTTGTCATTCTCGCTATTCTTCTTCTTCGACGCGCTCGCCGTCGCTGTTTTCGGACATTTATCGTCTTTCTTCTGTAAATGACCACAAAAAAAATGCGTTGCCGCGAAGCGGCGATTCCACGCTAGAGACAGGTGTTTAAGGCATTATTTGTAATGGTGCACTCGCAGCAACGCAACTGTATATAATCATTCACAAAGCTTCACAACAAAAATACACACCCCTTGCTCGAGCGATGTTTTTTTCTATTCAGTTTAATAGCCGACAAATTTGCAAATCAACATTACTGTCCGAAAACGCTAATAAAAGAATTATCTTGATTAGGGATCCTATAACAGAATCTGGCGACAAACGATTTTGTCAAAATCCTACGAAAGAGAAGGATTACACAATATATTTCTTTCTGCATGTACGTTATCTTATTTTAACTTGCTCTAAACTGTTTCACTCTATAACTCTAATTACGATTATATACCTTTCTCTCTCGTAGGATTTTGACAAAATCGCTCATGACTAGGCTCTGAGATAGGATCCCTAATCAAGATCTCTTTGGTATCATTGCTAGTATCATTCTTTACCTCTAGCTCCAGCGTTCGACGGAATTTGCGACGTATAGCCACTAGATGCACCTCCCTCGATAGGGATATCGGTATGAAGTCCGCCACCTCTGAGAATACGATTAACCGATGATACGGAGGGTAAGCTCTGGGGATCACAAGCTCCCTGTCGCGCGAGCTGTTCGCGGATCTCCCAGGCAAACATTGTCGGCTGCTCCTGCTTCATCCGTAAAATCTTTTTTACCACTGTCGGCGTAGCTACTTGCTGTAAGATAAGTAGAATATATTTATAAATAAATATTGTATATGGATATATTTCATCTATCGTGTATTTTCTAATGACGGATTCTTTAATTATTTGAAATAATCTTTCTTAAAAATGTCAAGAGGAATTATTTATATTGTATTTTTAATTTATTTATATTGTATTTTTAATATTACATATTTCTTAATTAAATTTCAAATTAAAAAAAATTTTATTTTAAGGCATTTTATTTTAAAACTGTAAAATTGGTTGTAAAATGTAGTTTGATAAATTATTTGTATGAAGTATAATTCGTAGAAAGCTTTTCTCTTTATTATTTAGAGCTTGAAAATTACCTTTGAAGTTGCTTTGAAGTCATTGTTTTTCCTAAGGAAACATTGTCTATAAATTGACCGAAAAATCTAAAAAAATAAATGTACAAAAAGTGAAACGCGTATAAATTAGTACAAAACAATAGTGGAAATTCTAAGACAGTGATTCGAGCTTTATCAATTATACGATATAAATACGTTACTTAACATTTGTATTTTATTTCTCATTATATAGAAAAACATTTTTATCAATTTTAGAATTTGTGTCCACCTTTCGTAAGGATATTTATCAGTGACAGGATGTCGTTGTTAATCATTCCGTCCTTTTTTTAAAGGCAAACCGTGTGCGTTATCTCATCGACAAATTAACGCAAACGCGGTCACACCATCGTTTCAACGGATCGCACACGCATATGTCGTTCACAGGTGAAAAGCACGACTGGATCGTCAATCAGATAGCGAGGAGAGTCCGTCCAGTGCGGTGGGCGAAGGTACTACCTATTTTATTTCGGTTTAGCCCCCGTTCGCCAAAGAAACGGGTTGTCCAGTCGGTTGGTACCGGTGCCGTTGGCTGCCACGAGGCCCACCATCGGTCTCGCTTCTCCAAAAAGGGGCCCCAGTGGTGCTCAATCTGACCGCGCGGCTAATTTGACTTGCTAATGAACGGTAATGGCACACAGATAATTTTATGCTAACGCGATGGAAATATTATTCCGGCCGTACAGATTTTGAGATCGCCAATCTCTTTGGGGGCGATGTCAGGCGTGCTGGCGCGAGCGAGACGCACCAAGATTTCGTTCGAGAAAAGATGATCATCTTCACGGGTCCATGCCCGAACCCATGCGGGGGTTCGTACACGATTCACACATATGTGTGCACGTATCGAGCGGAACGGTATCACCAAACCGGCTGTCGATTACCGGCACCGATCTCATTTCGCGAGAAGATCGATGCCTCGGCGTTCCGCGTATTCATAATCTGTGCTCGGTCGCGTGGGCACGATACGCGTGGATACGATCTTTCTCGACAAATTATTTCGAAAACGAACAGAATAAATATTGCGCTATCGATCGGACAACGATTGATACGATCGGCATAAAGGCAAACGATTGGGCATCGATTGATGTGCTCGGCAAGGCCAAGAGAAATTATAAATCTTGAATTACAAGGTCGCCATAAATTTTCTCACACGATTGCTTATAATTAATTTTTTCTAAACAAAAAATATCATTGGTCAGACGAAAATAAGTTTTAGTCGAGAGCAAGTCAAACTCGAAGAAACTCAATAAAGCGTCCCTCACTGAGAAAAAAATCTTAAATAAAAGTATTAATAAAAATATCAAATAAATTTTAATAAATATTTTTGTTTGTGAACAATTCTAAGTAAATATTTTCTAAATGTAAACATATTTATTTGATACAAAAATTATTAATTTAACTATCATATTTTCATTAAGTAAATATATTTATTTATTTCTTGTAAGTAAATGTTTATTAAATAGTAAATCAATTTAGGCTCTAATGAGTAATATTAATAAAATTTAGTAGAAGCCTCTAAGAGGCTTTTACTAGCAATACAAGTTATATATGTATATAAATGTTCTTTATTATAATCAACGCAAATATATAAATGTTTACTTACAATTAGTCCTACTAAAAAAAAAAATGTATTAAGATATAAATAAATTTTGTTCAGTATAATCAGTGAGATGAATCGTTTAAAACTGTCAAAATACAGAGTTAATACGAAATGTACAAGATGTCATTATCCAAAGTACTCGCAGGTGAAAGCACCACTGGCAGGAACGTTTAGGGGCTAGTGCCTCAGGGGTAGCGAAGAGTCGAAGAGGGCCGCCTAATAGTTTGAGGGGGTTAGGACAAGCATCGCGTGCTCCCGGGAGCATCTCAGATTCTAATCTGACACTTCCGTCGTCGTCGTTGCCACAATTACCTACCCCTGCCACTCCGACAATATATATACGGTGCGTCCTAATGCGGACCCTCACGTTGCCGTTCGAGCACATCGAAGCACGGACACGCACGTGAGCATGCGTTATGCAAGTGTGCGTGTACGTGAGCGCGCGTGTGTGCTACCATCGGAGGAAATTGGCTGGGCAGAATGGACATCTGGCACTAAACGTTAGATAACCCGCATACACCCGGGCCGTGTACATACGAACAGGTTCACCAACTCGGTAATTATCGCGCGTAAGTTGCGCGCCCCGCTACATGCGCCCCGAATGCCCCGAGTGCTTGTCAATGATAAGGGCAACGATGACCGTCGACACCTTCCGCCCCATTTTTTCCCATGCTACCTGGACGCGCCAGTGTCGTTGGAAATAAGAGGCGATTGATTTGTCATCAGAAATGTGAAATAAAAGCGAAAGAAGTACGGAAAAGATGAAAATAGCGCATCGAAAGAACAGTTTTGCTAAAAATCTAGACAAAGTTTCGAAAACAATTTTGTTGGTCATTAAAGTAATCATATAGAAAACTCAAATTAATACATATCACAATAATAATGATTAATTTAACGCGCCCTTGTGTGTTTTTTATTATTAGCAAAAGGTAGTATAAAAGAAGGGCAAAGAGCCAATGACGTATATAAAAAATTATAATTCAGATAAGAAAACTCAATACAAAAACAATAAAAATACAATAAAATAAAACAAACGTTTCAACTCCAATTGAGTCATTTTCAATGCCATCATACAATAATATAAATGTCGTTCTAAATTAAAAATTAATACATAATCTTACAATATTCTTAAAATTCCTTAACAAAAAATTCTTTCCTCTTTCTGTGTAATACGCTGTGAGTCATTTTTATCAAGAATTAACAAAGTCATAAGAAAGTTCTGGAAAAGTAACCGTAAACAAAAAGAATCAATATTAATCACATAAAAATTAAAAATATAATGATATACCTTAGTAAATCTGTTAAAAGTCCCATAATACACAACGAGAAAAAATGTAAAATGTAGTCCATTTTGTGGTACAGTAAAAAAGTCTTTTTAATTTAATAGGTTATTAAAGCAAATTCGCAAAGGTAACGAGCATCTGACTTAAACGATGTCACAAAACGAAATGTCAAACAGAAAAACATTTTATTATTAGGAAACTCAAGTATGATGAGAGCGATGCTGCAAAAAATTTTTATATTCTAGCAATCAGCTTGAACATCCTGTCTAATTATTTTGATAGTCTAAAATAATTATTTTCTGATATGTATAAATATTTCTGCAAAATCATCCTTTCTTTCTAAATTAACCTTCTAAACGCTGACGACTGGGGGAAAACAAGACTTCATGTTCGCGTCATGGGAATAAAACGCTATTCGCTCCTATTTGTCGCGATGTTTTAAGCGCTGTTAAATCATGCATCGAGAAAATAAATACGTGTCCATGAGCGGGGACAGTCAGATACGCGCGTATTTCCGTCAAGACCACGAGCGAGATCTTAATTGCCAGATAAACGGCGAAAACGTTCGATCGTCGAGTATGAACCGTACACGAAGAAAATAAATATTCCGTCGGGGTTGAAGCCGTGACAATAGTCATTTTCAGATAAGAGTGAAATTCCATCAACGGTTTCGAGAAACCCGTGAGATCGCTATCGAATCCGAAGAGTAAAGAGAGCTAAAGCGTCACCACGAGGGCGTATATACTTTGTCGTCGTATCATCCAGTTGTTATACGAGAAAGAGAAAACTTTGAACGCATTGCGCGTACGTGGAGAACGAGGCGGATCGCGGCGATTTTTTTTCTTGATGTTCCACTTTATTATCCGCGACTGCGACGCGGTCTGTGCATTTTTCATGAGACAATTTTCTCTGTCGTGCCGCCGGCTTATTATCCGACGCGTATCACGTTGACGCGCACGCGTATATGACAGGAGAGAGAGAGAGAGAGAGAGAGTAACGGAGAGAGTACGTGAACATGTCTCGAAAATATTACGTACCACACCCGAGTACACGTGTAGATTCGCCGATAGTTGGTCGATTAATTTTGCGAGATCGCACGCTAAATTGCATCGCCCGATGTAGCGACGAGACGGAGAGACCGGATCGCGCATCACTGGGATTAATCTTTCACTCTCGAGAGTGCGAATTTAATTAAACACTGCTATTGGAAACTCTTATTGCAAACATGCGTAAGTCGCCCGAGGAGGCTTAATACAAAATATAGGCCGGGGGCCTATTTTTGAATACATAACGTATACTATAGAATTTTCGTACGTGATATTTTTCAGGAATAAGCCCCCTGTGAGTTCGCAGTTTTACACCAAATTCGCATATGGAAAGATCATCTGTGACCGAAGGGCAATATCGTGGAATACGCGCGCCAAGGAGGGCGCGGAAAGTCGTAATAACAGAGTTAAAATGGAGAGCAACGTTATCTCGACGAGGCACCGTTCATCTTTCGTTTGGAAATTGTCGGGAGGGAAAGAACGGAGAGGAGAGGCGGTTAAATGCCGGTTCTCGAGGGCCCGACGAGTTAATACTGCCAGGCAATCAAAGGGTTTACCTAGTAGCTATTATTTAATTATCGGCATAACTTTAAATTGCTGTAAAAGCCACTTACAGACAGGAATAGTGACGAGCCTCTGCATGTTATCTAACGATCTTCTCGAGAAAAAAGATCCTTTATGCGCACGGTGGATGGTGGGCGGGCAAAGATACGTTGCGCGTGCAAGACGAGCGACTTGATCCTTCGTGCATGCTCGCTTCCCCCAAAGGGGACTCGTATGGCTTCCTAATTTCTCACCCAAATTACCAAAGGTTGCCGTTTACTTGTCGTAAAGAGGAAAAGAAAAGGCGACGAATTCGGCCGATCGCGTAGATCGTGGTTAAAAAAAATTTCAGGACTAAGCCGTATTAAGCGCGCAACCATTATTTCGCCACGGGACTATTTTGACATACGTGAAATAAAACGAACGCCGGTAATGGCAGATGATGACTATCGTTTACATGCGCGCGTAATCGGCTCCCTTCCTCGTATTACAGCCGGAATTTAAATGTCCTCTTCAGAATTTTAAGAGCTCTCTCTCTCTCTTTCTCTCTCTCTCTAATTTTTCTGCATATGTTAAATATTCTACCTTACTTTCCTTTTGTCTACAATTTTGTTCATTATCTATCATATCTTTATTATTTTTTTTCTCATATCATATTTATTTTACTTTGTAGATTTTATTATTTTGTGTCACCGTTTTTCATTTCATTTCCTTTTTACTTGTCATTTTTATATTCTTAGAGGACTGGTCCTACAATATTAATAAACATCTTTATCTACCTATCTCTCTTATTTCTTTCGTCCCTTTCGTTCTATTCTCTTTCATCGGCGTATACCAAACTCCAGCTCGCAACTTAAGGAAGGTCGATGCACGCCGACGCGGCGTTATTAAAATAAATTCATTAAGCACAGAGTAACAGTCCGCGGTCGGCGCATCGTAAGAAATTCTCAGTGCATAATGCGTATACGCACCGTGCAATTATATTGTCATTAGCGGCATGTGTGCGCGATACCGCGAGCGTCGGTGCAGCTTCGCGATGCGCACCCGGGGGGCGAAATGGCGAATTTCTGAGTCAGACGCGAGTGCGTTATGCGATAAAAACTTGCGTCTTGTCGTTAAGCTTCACGAATCTGATTACGATCGAACGATAGAAAAGTCAACGTGTCCACGATTTCGCGAAATCGATTTCGATTACGAGATGTAATTTCCTTTCGCGACGTCGGCGTGACAAAAGCGGCGGTTTTCTCTTTAATACCGATCGATTAATTTATGACGCGACATATCGGGACATCACTCAATATCAGCAAGAAAAGCGTGCAAAGCCATAAAATTATGCAAATGCTGATTATGTGCAATGCAAAGTGTTTGGATAATTGCACGCACGGTCAAAACGCAGCCCTTACTTAAAATCACATCAGGAATGTACGTGCAGGGAGAGGACTAACTCTCATCAGAGCCACCGCCCGCTAAGGCACGCTGATGCGTGATCGTTCGTTTTAACGTGTTTTTGCGAACCACCGACATTAATCTTTTCTTGAATCTTACCCTCACAGCACATTTTATGCCAAACGTCTGTAACCCTCAAATAATTTTTATTCTGATTAAATTTTCTCTAAGAAAAAATTCGCAAGTTTATTAAATAATAATCTTGTCTTGTAAAATATTTGAATACATTTTTAGTAAGTCACCAAAAAAATATATTTGGTATTAAAAATACTTCATACTTTATTCTAATATTTTTACGTGAAATATGAAATATTTGTATACATTTGTAATAATAATAGCAATAAAATGATTCAATATCTCGATATAAAAAATTCCACAACTACAACTAAAAAGGCATGCATGCAATCGTATATTCTGTATACAAAAAAAAAAACGATTTTGCTGAAATGTTCAAAAATTTAAATAGACACAGATCTAAAAATAATTTTGTAGAAAATTCAAACGTGATAAGCAATGCTGTAAGAATTTTTAACATTCTAGAAACTAACTTCAGCATCTACATAATTATTTTAACAATCCGAAACAAAATTTATTTTCAGATCTTAATCTAAAGTAGTTGAATTTCTAAATAACAGAACCGTTCTTGTCGATGTAGATATTAAAATCACAGATTACGATCTTACCTTCGTCTTGCTTCCACCGATGCTGCCAGGTCGGATGCTTCCCGTCTCGTAGAATCTCGTAAGTATCTTGGAGACGCAGCCATGGGACACGAGTAACTGTCGAGAAATATCGCACGGCCTGACGCCGACCATGGCGAGTTGCACGATTCTCTGGCGCACGCAGTCTGGCAACGGCCTGCCGTTCACAAAGACGCCGCCTAATTGATTCACCCCGGCTTGCCCTGGAAGAACAGTCAGTCAATCAGTCGGGTTATTGTGTTAATGGGCGACATAACGATGGTGCGATAAGTCGGCCTGAATCGCCGGATAGCGATTCAAGATTTAGCGTTGAACGACAAAAGGTGTTTATCGATTCAGAAAAGAACAGTCGGAAATCTGCTAATAATGCGCTCGCGGTCATCCGGGAAGGTCGGCAGGTGCATCCTCTGACGTGCGGTCCTAGCTGGCCCTCTAACGACATTGTTACGACGAATATCACGGAAAGAACCTTCCCTCCCTGCCTTTTTGTCCGGCAAAGACATGTCATTATTTTCAGTAATATTAGAAAGATCGTGTAGCGTTTGCAACGAAATTCCGACGTCTATACTCGAAGGTCGCTTGCAATTAACGATAAAATCTAGTAATTATTTTGTTTGGTTTTATGCAACAAAAATATTATAATTAAATGTTCGTTAAAATGCATGCCACGATTATTTTTGTTTTCGACACTGGAGACGTCTTTCACGAAATATTAAATTTATTTCGTGTGAGAGAAGAGACGCTATAAATTATTGTACTTCCTGTTTATGTCGTTATAATCGTTATTTTATTCCTCTCATCGAAGTTTAGTCAAAAACTTCCTCAAGTTTTAAATACGTAATTAGGTAATACTTTATTATGAAACAACTTTCTGTTCATTAAAATTTGAAGAATTTAAAATGTCATATGTTAAAACGTAGAGTTGGAATGATAAAAAAATTAACATAATTCGAAAATTCAAGATGAAGTTTAGACCCATCGGTGAAGCGTAAAAGTTAATTGGGATGAAACGTTAAGACGAGGACCAGTCTTCGCAAGTCTTCGTTTTAGAAACTATTTCGTTTTTTTTTTTTCTTAATATCCATATTCATAAAACGTGTAATCGCGTAATTTTCATATTCAGCAGCGCGTGAATATGAAATGCACAATGTGTTACGGACTTAAATCACGGCAAACGACAAGTTATTTACGCATTGCATGCGCGACACGTCGTACAACCGACGCAGCACTTGTCGAAAATTTTATAAAACCGATATTATTCCCCCGCAGTGGTGTCGTAAAACTATAATGACCGTCTCGCCGTGAGCGAATAAAAACGCCAATTGATCACCAATTTTATGTTCCGCCGTCGAAAATGGACGGCTTAAACGATCCGCAATCTAACGCGCGCATTAAAGCGTCGAATAAAATCTGAGTTATACATGATAGTTTTCCGTTTGTCTTCTCACGAGACATTAGACGTTGATTAAAAGTTCGGAAAGACTGTAGAACGACAGGCTCGCTGTTGTATTAAAACTGCATCATAAATCCTCGATCAGCTTATTTCACACTCGAAGAATCCTCAATTTTCGGATCGTCTCGAAACGATGTCAACAAAATTAACGGCATAATTATTACAGACGACTCATTTCAATTTCATGGGAATCTCTGTCGTTTAATATTCAGTTTACTATTCCAAGTTGAATTTTAATCTTAAATATACACCAAAACAACTTTCGGCAGCGTGAAATTCGGATTCGAAGAAAAACACTCTTACGCGTCTTAATTAATCTGTCGTCATACTAGAGAATAACCACATGAAATGTATGACATATTTTCGTAATTATAATTACATTTTAATAAGCTAACCCTATCATGATATAAATTAGAAATCTTTAACCATAATGATATTGTTGCAATAATTGTTGCAATACAAGTAGAGGAGGAAGGCCCAAGGATGTAAGCAATCTAGCCCGGTTGCAGTTCTGCATCGGTGCTCCGATGAAGATAATTGTCGGTCATATATGAGTTTTACGAATAATAACTTGCCGCGTAATGGGAATAATCGGTGTTATTCCCCGGCGATTATTATCGACGTTACTGAAACCAAGAGAAAGAAAAAAGAAAGAGAAGGGCTTCACGCAGAAGCGGCGTAACTAACGACGGCCTCTCCTTCGCGAAAGAAAATGTAAAAGGGCGAAAAAGATCAAAGGCATAAATGCCATGAGCGACTTATATAAATCGAGCCACGCGCCTTCACGTAGATACCCGTCCGGATTAACGTACGATCGTGCGTACCCAGGACGATCGCTAATTATTATCCGCGCCGACTAATTATGTCATTACCACGATCACTGACGCCGACGGACCTCCAAACCAGCTTGAGAAATAATGATCTCTCGAGCGGCCGCGTATTCGAGCTAAAGAAAAGATTTTCGTCCATCTTTTCCACCGGCATTACTCCTCGGATTCCTCGAATCTTCATTTGAAGTTTTGCGTTTTACGGGCTAATCGACAAGACGATCCCGATCACTCCTGTGATTCTCTCGTATTTCCCTGAACGAGCTTCCACGCTCTGGGAAACAAACGATCAGCGTGATTACACTTGTGATGCCGAGTTTTTTGTACGCCTCTGAGATTTTATGTCTGAGATAATTCCTAATAATTTTCCGTCCTAATAGATTATATATATATATATAATATTGTATATGTATGCATGTATGTACGACTTTTAAATTGGGAGATAAAAATCTCTTCCAATTAATCCGCCCATTAACCGTTTATTCGTATAAGCGCGATCTGCGAAAGAGCCATTACACGTCCCGGCCGAAATTACGAAATGCTTCTACAATTTCATGACGTTCTCGCGAGAGTGAGAACGGACGTGACGTTCACAGCGGCGAGAGCTCGCACGAAGTGGGAATTGCTGATAATGACCACCGGTCGAAGGCGTGACGGATTGTCCTTATTGGATAATTTAAGGGTCTTTCGATTGGTGACAGGGACACACAGCCGGTAAGACTCATTTTCGGAGAAATTACTTTTTGAAGAAATTACTTCCGGGGAATGTGCGTCTCGCGTGCTCGCATGTGCCTTATTCATTAGCAGCTATATCGAACTGGCACATACTCGATACGTATTACGAACGATGCACTTTCTTTACCAATAAATAAATAAATAAATAAATAAATAAATGAAGAATTAAAGAAATAAATCTTGATAAATTTATTAACTTTGGACTCGACGCATATCGCTGAATTAATCGCTAAATTACATTTTTGTTTCAATCATTTTTATGTAATTGATTAATTATCATCTATCCCTTAATGTGTGTGTGTGTGCCCTTCATTCGTTCTACCGGCCACACTAATCTGTGACGCGTTTGCACCGAAAATTATACACGCTACGGTATTTCGGACAACGGAGAACGACAACGCGCAAGCGACGGACACAGTGCAGCGGGCCAAATTATTATTACGGCAAAAACAGGCCAAAATGGCATCTTTATCTAACTGAAAATCTGCCGGTGGATCCGCGAAATAATGGAATCGCGCAGTAACGGGCGGCGGTTCTGGTTGCGCTGCGCATCATAAATAGTACTGGAACCACTCGTTTACGTGAGATAAAAAGCGTGAGCACGGAAATCGGAATACCGGAAACGCGCGATTTGTAAAGAGATTAAAGCGAAAAGGCGAACAAGATGGAATTGGTAGAAAAAGCTACTCAGAACTACGTTATAGACTGCTACGCGAACGTAATATAGCGTTCAAAGTAACTGTTATCTTTAATAACGGCTTGGGATGTTAATAAAGGCGCCTTTGCAATAATTAAAGACGTGATAAACCGCGAGCTACTCGTAAACGCAGATTGAACGTGCAGATCTAGTTTATTAAATAGATACTACACCTAACATATTAAATGCAACTTTTCCAATGATGAGCACTTCAAGCACTTTCCGTCTGCGGAATAACCATTGGATTTTTTAAATTATCTTGTTCTTTTCATCTAATTACTGCCTAGATCGTTATACCTAGTTTATTTCACACGGAAAGAACGATTTTGCTGAAGTATCTAAAAATTTAATTAGCTATATATCTAAAAGTAATGTTAAATAATTGTTACCCAAATAATTATGTAAGACGCTATCTAAGAAGTTAGTTGTTAGAATATCAAAATTTTTTACAGTATTGTTTATCATGTTCGAATTTCTCTACATTATTATTTTAATGGTTCAATAAAATTATTTTCAAATCTGTATTTATAATAGCTAAAGATTAGACATTTCAATAAAATCATTCTTTCTATGTAAACAAAATGTTTATAAATATTTTTTACAGTTTCAGATTATAAATTAAAAATTTGAATTTTTAATAAAATTTGGATTTTTTAGATTATTTAAGATTTTAAGAATATTGCTGCAATGCAAAATACATTTGTGAGTCGTTTTTTTTCTAAAACAAGAATTTATCAGATGTGATCTTAACTGAATTTTTAGTCGTTATTGTAGAGATTTCAATTTATAGAAATGTCAATTTAAATTAAAAGGATTTTGTTAAATAAAATTGTCATATATAATATACATAATTCTCCATAAATTTGTCATAGCAAAAGAATTCAATATTTTTTTCTCCGTGTTTCGACCATGACTTTTGATCGCTAATTTCTTGTTATTTAATCATGCATGCCATAAATTTTCATCGCGATTAAATTATTTTATGTAATCGCGGTTCTCGAAAAAAAATAATTAATTTGTCAATACTATAATATTGCTTCATAAAATAATTAAAAATCAAGAGTCATTATATCACGATTAAAAAATATTTAAAAATTTAGAAATTATTTTAGAAATTTATATTATGTATTCTTACGAGAGAGAGAGAGAGAGAGAGAGAGAGAAAAAGTATCAATCTATATATATTTTATATATCTATACTCTCCTCTCTTTTTTTGCTTTTTTCGACAAGTTGAAAAAATGTTACAAACTTGTTAAAATAATTATTCGCCAATTTCCAGAATAACTATATATTTTAGAAATAATATTATAATTTTATAGGATATCGATATATTTTTATCTTCTTTTATATTTATACTCTCTTTCTGTTTATATTTTCTTAAAAGAGTACAAATTGTCAAACTACGAGCGCAAGATTCTTTTACGAATGCATGTAGGGCTATCTCTCGTGATATAATACTGACTAAGCTTAGAATTAGCCGGCTAATGCAATCACCAGCAACGATCGCTATCGCACTGGCCATTTAGGCTCTAACCAAACTCTACACCTGCCTACCTGTAATCACGATCCCCGCGCCCATGCCAACAGATTTTTTTCTCTCTGACGAGAGCGAGAGAACATCGTACTGAGAATCGCGTTTTACCAACTCGATGCCAACTCGAATTGGCACACATCGGTCACCGTTCAACTCGTTCTCACTATCGGCTCCGTCATCATCTGTCTTAAAAGAACACATGCGGGAGATAGCCTTAAATGGAAGTGCATCAAGATGAATACCACGGTGGCTGTTATTAAGTGCTTATCGCTCCAATGATTATCCGCGACTTGAATGTTGTTGATAATTAAGAAGTAACATATGTAACATGATCTCGTTAATAATTAAAAGTAACATTGAATCTGCAAAATTCATTATGAATCTTGATATTCCTGATAATATCGTATAACCAAATAAAGTCTCTATAATCTACATAATTTTTCGATGTAATAACGTATTTTCAGTAAAGACAACCCGCATATAATTTGTACGGCAAAATTATTAAGCACATCGAAAGTTTTTTTACGATTTCATTACATTTTCGTTGGCGCAAACCCCAACGAAAATAAAAATCGGGAGAGTAAGTCGAATACAAGAAGAGAGTAATAGAAGCGTGAACGTAGCTTCTAGAAGATGAAAATTGTAACCATGAAACGTAAAAGAGGTGTGTCGCCTTTTATAAGTTTCATTTACTCTTCTATTTTATACTCTCATCTTACATTCGACTTACACTCCGATTTTTATTTTCGCCAGAGGAATGATTTAGGAAAGTTGTTAGGAATTGTTAGCAAAATATTATACTAAGTAAATTCTTTGGTCAACAAGACACATTGGCGAAATTAATCACAATATTAATAATCCCAATTCGAAAGACCGTGATAACCGGAACGGAAAATACTTTTTCTAGTTTTTTCGAAGACTTCTTGCAGTTGCAACGCCGGAAAAGCGAAAGATTGATCGCTCGATCGGGATTCGGGCAGGATTCTTTACACGGGCATCAGATCAACGTAGCGAGAATGGAAACAGAGAGGAGAGACGGTAGATTATAATTATACTCGTTTAATAATAGGCCTATAGATGTTGGCGTTCGATCCATGATATAAAATTCTTCGTTAATTACTGTCAAACTGCCTTTCAAAGCGTAATTTAGCCTTGAGCCAGGAGAGAAGCAGGACTCTCTTCTATAGAAGAAGAAAAGAAAGGTAGAAATTTTTATTTTCATCACCGATTTCGACCTGTGATCTCGCCGACGCGACGCGACGGTAGCTGACCCCGTCCCGGAGAAATCATAACGACGTGTTACATTCCCTCTTGAATGAATCAGGAAGCGAAGCCGACCGAATCGCGCGGTGAGATTGGCTATTTAGCAAACTGGCTGCTGTATGCGATGAGCCGACTCTTTTTAAGAATTAGCATTGTAACGATATAATCCTTCAGTCGTTACTTTCTCAACATTCCCGACAACCGAAATGCATTACAATTAATATTATCTAAGTCTGTTGTTAATATTAAATAATGCTGTCATAGAAACTTGATTATTTATTGAAAATTGTTCTTGATTTTATTGTAGAATTTTTCATCCCAGGTAGATCTCACAAATTGTGAGTTTAATGATAGATTCTAGTTAGTAGAATAGTTTATATGGATTCGATTTTTCTCAGAAAATATCGCGACATCGATAATCTTTTAGCAATAATCTATCAAAGAAAAAAAAAACTGTTTTTTACAAATTAAATTCTTAAAGACATAAATAGACAGAATTATTATATTCTTCAATTAACAAAAGTGAACTTTTCATTTTAATAGAATCTCCGTTTGAAGTTTAATTCAATTAGAAAGTTGCAATAAATCACGATCTTCTTCGACATTTTTGCCAAGAAAAAATCGATTCCAAATTGATCGGGGAAGTAGTCGTAGAAAATTATACTTTCAGACAGACGCGTATATCCCACAAATCGCGACTTTGATGACGATTTTTTATATGAACTTGGTTACTGGTACTTTATATGGACTCAATTTTCTTTCAACTATAAATATTTATACATCGATAATTTTCGAATAAGCGATTGAAGGGGAAAAAAATGCTTCTCGCAAATTAAACGAAATTTTCTTTTAAGAAAATAGCCAATTATTATATTCTTACATAGACAGCGAATTAACAGAAGTGGACTTTTTACTTTTATAGAATCTCTGTTTGAAGTTTCGCGAGCTGTGGGATATCTCGTGAACGATATGCGTTCGAATCGGAGAAAGAATGAAACCTCAATCTGAAGGAAAACCTGAGAAGAGCAAGTGTCTACTCACCAGTGTGCGGCATGGCGACGAGCGATCACGTGCCGTATCTGAAACAGAGCAAGTCTTTTAAGACTTAACGGCAAACTGCAAATCGTACGGTGTGTAAAACGTGAAACGTAGTGCGCATCGCCGTATTAGAGCCTTCACAGAGTGGCGTATTGCGAGCACCATGCGCGCCCGTATATGCGTGTTTCTTACCGCGCGACGTATTATAGAGTATAGCAGGAGTATAGCCTTCGCCGTTAATGAATTTAAATGTATTCAAAGGGCGCGCTTGACGCTTGACATGGCAACCCTTAAATATGCAACCGTACCGATAAGGCAAAGCGCGGCAAAATATTGCCGCCGGTAGCCGCAAACCGTGACTCTCATTCCTGAACCGATCGCGGCGAGATGACGACGACGACGACGAACAAGC